TGGGGAAGCCAGGGAGGGCTTCCTGGAGGGGGTGCCATTTAAGCTATCACTAAGGGAATGAAAAAATCTGTGATTTACCATTTCAGAGACACCACATGGGCTAGAAGGTCTGAACATTAGCTTGGTTTGACTCAGAGTATTTGAAGACAGTTTGACCAGGGGCACCTGGGTGGCTCAGTTGGTTGAGCATCTGCCTTCAGCTCAGGTCATGATCTCAGGGTCCTGGGATGGAGCCCTGCATCGGGCTCCCTGCTCAGTGGAGAGTCTGCTTCTCCCTTTCCCTCTGCCCCGGCCCCTGCTCATGCTCTCTCTCAGTCTCTCGCTCTCTCAAATAAATAAATAAAATCTTAAAAAAAAAAAAAAAGCTGTGGAGAGGAACAATTCTGAGTGTTTACCCAATTTTTTGAGGCAAAAACCAAATCAAAACCAAAACCTAAATAAGTTGACTTTGCCATATTTCAAGATGTTGCGATTTCATGCAGAAGTTCAGATTTCTGGCTTCTTCAGTAAAAGGAAGCCTGGCTGCACCCAATCACCACTTCCCAGGGTCGCATGGACTGGAGTCAGCCCTGATGACCCTGTGAGAGACTCGGGCCTTCCTGCTTCTGCTCCGCGGGGCCACCACCCCCTGCCTCCCTACCTTGCCTGCCCAAGGCATGGGATCGTCCAACAGGCCTGTGGGCAGGGTGGGCTGGGGGGGCAGGAGGAAACTGAGGGCAGAAGGGTGGAGTGGGTCTGGAAGTGTCAGTGGTGGTTCAGCTACCCCAGACCTAAGGAGAGTGTATCCCAGCCACGGGGAAGAGCATGAGCAAAGATGGAGGTGAGCAGGCCCAGACTCTGCAGGGAGCAGAAAGGGGGATGGTGTCACCAGGATAAATGGTGACAAGGGTGGCACGCGCTGCCCCGGCTGCCATTGTGCCCTTAACCCTGAGCCATCAGAGCCATCCCGCGCAGGACTCTGAGAGTGTGGTTTTTAGACCAGGCTCCGTCATCAAGTAACTAAGTGGCTCTGGACACCTTGCTTCAGCCTTGAGTTTCACCTCTATACTATGTGGATGGCAACGGCTGCCCTTCTCATTGCAGGGAGGTGTGGGGGGAAACACGAGTATGCACGCAGAGAGGCCAGCTTTGCCCACTCGGGAAAAGGAGGGACTGTCATTACTTAAATGACTGAAGGCCCCTCTTTGGGCCTCAACCGCTCTTAGAGCCATGGTCCCCCCTCCCTCCCAAGAGGGAGGCCTCTTCCAACAGTCCCCGGAGCTCCCCGGCCCCCTCCTCCTGCCTCCTTCCGGTCCTCTCTCCTTCAGCATGCTGGCTGACGCCCACCTGCCTACCACCTTCTGCTGCCTTCCAGGGGCCCCGCCAGGCGGCTCCAGAGCTAGGGAGAGCGCTCAGGACAACCCCCGTCCCGCCCCCAGACTCTTTCCCTCCTCCCTCCCTCTCCTCCTGCCTCACTCCTCTGTCCCCTCCGCCAGACTGTTCCTCCCCGGGGCCTGCAGCCTCACTCCCTCTCCTCCAGGGGTTTGCTAGGATGTCACCATCTCGGCGAGGCCTTCCATGCCCACCTTATTTCTTATTTCAAATGTAATGCCCTCCCCACACCGGCCACTTCCACCCCCCTTCCTGGCTTCATTGTTCTCCTTAACACCTCTCACCAGCCTACATACTCTGTGTCTTGCTTATTTATCTTGCTTGGCATCGGGGCGCCTGGGTGGCTCAGTCAGTTGAGCGTCTGACTCTTGATCTCGGGTCAGGCCCTGATCTCAGGGTCGTGGGATCGAGCCCTGAGAAGAGCCCCCCATTGTATTGGGCTCCCTGCTCAGCAGGGAGTCTGCTTGAGATGCTCTCTCTGCCTCAGCCCCTCCTCCCCCTCCCTCTCTCTAATTAATCAATCAATCAATCAATCAATCAATCAATCTTTATCTTGTTTGGGGTCTGTTTGTCTCCGCTAGAATGTAAACACCAAGGAATCAGGAGATTCAATCTTTTTTTAGCTAAGTATCCTCAGCACACACAACTAAGTAGGGGCTCCATAAGTATTTAATGAACTGAATTGTCAGGAACACCACCCTGAGTTAGCTACAGGTTTTACTGATTGGTGGGGGTGAGAGGGTGGGAGGATGGGGCTAAAGGGCCCCAGCCATGTCCTGACCCTCAAACTCAAACCAAATGTCTAACCCACACCAGGCTCAGAGAGGTCAAGTAACTTTCTCAAGATCACGCAGCCAAGAGGTGCTGGAGCCGGATATCGAACCTCTGTCTCACTACTTCCTGTTTTGCTCACAGTAACTGGGATCAGACTGAAAGCTCATTATTCTTGTTACTAAACTGTGTCTTCACCCATTCCATCCTGGGCCAGGATGACCTGTTTAGGGGCTATCTCTTCCACTGGTCAGTGGGCTTCTCATCTCAGAAGGAGGCACAATTTATTCATGTTACCATCTCCCCAGTGCCCAGCAGAGATACATGTGAATGTCTGAGCAGATTAGTAAATGAAGATGCTCTGTGGTGCTAGTAGAGTCAGACACACCAGGGTTTTAGTCTTGGCTCTGCGTCTTACTAGCTGTGAGACCCTGGCAATTTAATTGTCCTTAGTTGCTGTGAAATGAGGATCTTGGTACTTAACCCTTTGGGTTACTGTATCCTAATGAATGTAAAGATTTTGGAATCGGAGCTGGTACATAGTGCAGAATAAATGTTAGCTTAAAAAGGGGGCAGATTAAAAAAAGAAAAAAAAAAGGAGAGCTGTGCATTTTGTGAGTGAGTTCTGCATCAGTGGAAGCAAGCAAACGGAGGCTGAAAACCCCGGGCATTTCATTTGATCCCTACAGGTACTACTACTCTTCCCATTTTACAGATAAGAAAACTGAGGCATAGAGAATTTAAGTCTCTAGCCCAACATCTGGAGTAAGGCCAGTCCAGGGAAGTGCAGCGAGAATGCACCGGCGGGAAAGAGATCTGAGGGAGCCAGGCCCGTCAGTGCTAGCTCTCTGAAGGGCCTCCTGGAAACCCAGACCCAGCTGCCGCTCAGGCTAAACGTGCGGCGGGTCCCGCGCTCAGAGGCATCTGGGCGCCGCCCGCCTCCGCCCCGCCCCTTGCCCTCGGGTTGTCCAATCCCACAGCCTTTATGTAAATGAAGCGCCTAGAGCGAGCCTATGCAAGAGCGGCAGGGGAGTGGTCTTCGTCCACCTCCCGGGCAACGTTCTGATTTATTGTTAAAATAGAAGCTGTGACCCCGGCATCCCACCCCGGCACTCCCTGTGCGTGGAAACCCGAGCCGAGGTCAGTAGCACTGCGCAGCGGAAAGGGGGGACGGGGGCGGGGAGAGGACGCTACTGGGGTAAGGGAGAGGGGCGAGGCATACGGAGAGGGACTGGCTGACCCGCCGGAGAGGTCCAGGAGTCCATTCTCCGGGTGGGGCATGAGTGTCCGCCGAAGGTTTTTCATTGTTACAGCCACACCTAATGTGCATTTTACAGGATTCTGCCAATTGGTTGGGGATTAAGGAAGAGGAGGAAGCGGGAGCAGTGAGGGGCACGTGGAATAGAGCCCCCAGCCGCCCCCAGGGAAAGGAGCCGCCTTGTCTTGTCTCAGGCGATGCTCCTTTATGTGGTCATACCAGGAAAGAACCGCCCAAGCTGGGCGGGACCAGTGCGCGCCCCCTCCACCACTGGGGCAGGGGACGTCGCGGGGAGATGACAGCCCAGGGAGGCTGAGGGGCCAGTGGGTACCCTCCTCACACACACGCCGGTTCCTGCCACCTCCCCAGGTCTGATGGTGGAGAAGCCAGGAACCTTCCCCCTGGCTGCCCCAGGGGAGGATGTGAAATTCCCCAGGTCTCAGCTGAGATTGGGCTACAAAGGCCTTATGTCCTGGTATGCTTTGGAGGAAACTCACCAGGTGAGGACCGGTGTATGGGCAGGTGACCTGGGGGCACCGCAAGGTGCATGGGGTTTGGGGATATGGGTTCATCTTCTGCGCCACTCTCCTCCTGGGGCTCTCTGTGAGCGAGGAAGGCATCTTCAAGTCACTCTTTTGTTGGGGTCTGCCCTCTCTCCCCCGTCCCAGGACATGGCGCCAGAGCCCTCAGTGGCCTCACCCAGATGGGAGGGCCCTGTGCTCAAGTCAGAGCGCCGGGGCTTCTTTTTGGCTAAACTGTACTGCATCCTTGCTGTGTGACTTTGTCCTCAACTCTGAAAATACCTGCTGGCTTTTGCTTCACTCCCAGCGTTGCCCAAGGAACCTGTGTGAATTGGCAGTGTGATCCAGTGCCCCTCACTTCAACCTCCAAGAGGGTGGGGAGGGACACAGACCTGGGCTGGAATTCAGTTCAGCCCCTGGGACTTAGAGCAAGGTGTGGACCCTAGGTGAGCCTTAGTTGCCTTGTCTGAAATTGGCATTGCTTTATCTACAATGTGGGGTAACTGTGAGGCCAGGGTACTCAAACTTTGGGGTGCATTGCCTCACCCGGGAAATTTGTTGAAAATGAGCAACCCCAGGCCTCACCTCCAAGAGATTCTCACTGGGTGGATAGGGGGTGGGAACTGGGAATATGTTTTTGTTTTTGTTTTTTAAAGTAATCTCTTGGCCCAACGTGGGGCTCAGACTCACAACCCCAAGATCAAGAGTCGCATGCTCCACCGACTGAGCCTGCCAGGTGCTCTAGGAACAAGCGTTTTATGAGCAGCTCAGCTGAGTCTAATGCAGCGTCCTTGGAACACACTTTGAGCAACACTGCAGTGATGACTAGAAATCACTTGTCAAATGCTTGACAGAGTGCCTGGTGCTTACTAGGTGCTTAATGAGTGTTTGCCGAGTGAATAAATGAACAGCTAAATGAATGGATGGACAACCTATTTCCTTAGTCCTTATCTGTCTGGGGGTAGCTAAGGCTGGGTTCTGGTGGGCTGCCAGCCAGTTACCTGGTCCTTGCTTCCCCCCCATTCTTCCCATGCCCCACCATAGGATCACAGGAGCTACTTTGGCCTGACTCAACCAATATGGAGGAGGTGGCTGGGAATGCCCCATGCGAATACTTTGAGGCCAACGTGCTTGCCCAGAGCTGCTGTCAAAATTGCTTCTACCCTGAGGAGGCCCACAGACCAAGGCACCAGGTAGGCCAGCTTCCCTGAGTGGTTGTGGTGGTTTGGGATGGGGGGTTCAGGATGGGCTGCGCCTGGTGGGCCACTAACTTGTGGCCAAACCCAGACACTGGCCTTCCTCCTGGGCAGAACAGAGGTTCTGCCATCTGTACAATGAGCTGGTGGGACCACGTTATGTTTCCCAAATGCAAGTCATTCTCCTGCTTTTATGATTTTTTGCCATGGCCTCATGTTATTTAGTACTTATTTTGTTATGCTTTAAATAAACACCCTTTTTAAAATTTATACTAAAACAAAACTTTATAGCATCACCACAAACGGGAAACTAGGATCATATCCTTTATATAGAAGGTTAAAAAGGAAGAAAGAAAAGGAAGAAAATAAAAAATGTCATTAAATTCTCACTAGAGAGTGTTGTCAGCTGAAGGCTCTGAGCCTGAGTCTTGCTGTCTCTCTTTAAAAAGAGAGATTGGGCGCCTGGGTGGCTCAGATGGTTAAGCGTCTGCCTTCGGCTCAGGTCATGATCCCAGGGTCCTGGGATCGAGTCCCGCATCGGGCTCCCTGCTCCTTGGGAGCCCGCTTCTCCCTCTGCTTCTCTCTCTCTGTGTCTTTCATGAATAAATAAATAAAATCTTTAAAAAAAAAAACCAAATTAAAAAAAATAAAATAAAAAGAGAGATTGGCAGGTGTTAGGGAGGCATTAAAGGCATACTAACACCCACTGGAAACTCTCCCTCGAGGTATTGAAGGAAAGAAAGGGGAGGTGTTTTCTCACTTTGCCATCCTCATGGTCTTATGCCAAGCCCTGCTCTGCGTAAACCCAGAGCTCCTGGTACAGAAGCTACGAGAAGCATGGGACTGTGAATCTCCATGGACCCCTCCAGCCTCGACCCTCCCCCGCCCCGTCCCCCATGGCTCTGTCATTCCCAGAGGGTCCTGAGGCTCCTCCTGAGCCTGGCAGCCAGCTCCATGCGGGACGTTAGGCTCCACAAGGTGGCTTTCCTAAGGGAGTTACTGTTCAGTTTCAGAGCCAGGCAAGCCAGAGTCCCAATCCTAGGTTTGCCATTTACCAGCCCTGTGACCTGGGGTCTTACCCTCTCTGGCTTCACTCTCCTAATGGGGGAAGTGGGACAACAGGGCCTTCTCACTCAGGGCATCTGGCACTGTTTAGTCCTAGGACATGTGGCTAATTCAATACACGTTAGTTTCCTCTCTTCCTCCTTCCCAAGCCAAAAAATAAACCTGGGAGAAAATTTTCTACCTGTCCTAATACCTCCAAGAATAGCTCTCTACCCTCAGCCCCAAGTTCAGGAAACACACCTGAAAACCCTGCGAGTCTGTCTCTGATGCCCATGGCCTTCCGCAGTGGGTGGGGAGATGGCAAGTATGGAACAGGAGGAGAAACTTGGATTCAGGCAGGTCTGAGTTCTAGTGTCAGTCTAGCCACTTCCGGGCTGAGACCTTAGGCCAGCTCATGTGTTCACACATAAGGAACAGGTGCCTAAAATGTGCCAGGCATTATGCTACCCAGGAATGTACAGATGTGGCCCCAGGTCCCAGGGCAACCCTCTCCCTGCGGCTTACTCTAGCTCCCCTAGGAGCTTGGGTGCTGGATGCATCCCTGCTCTCTTCTCAGCTGAGCCTCCCACAGGCCAGGGGGGGCAGGTGGTTATCTCTGGAAATCAGGTCACAGCCAGGATCTGCAGGGGGAGGACGGGCTACGTGGGAGGGTCCTGCTGTCTGCCAGGCACCACACATCCCTTTTCAATGTATTTATTCTTTTTTTTTTAAGATTTATTTATTAATTTGAAAAAAAATTAAAAAAAAGATTTATTTATTAATTTGAGAGAGAGAGAGAGAGAGCACGAGCTGGGGGAGGGGCAGAGGGAGAGAGAGAATCCCAAGCAGACTCCCCGCTGAGCAGGGAGCCTGATGCAGGACTTGTCATGGGGTTCTTTTGGGGGTGCGATCGCAGGACCCTGAGATCATGACCTGAGCTGAAACCAAAAGTTGGACACTCAGCGGAATGAACCACCCAGGCGCCCTTTCAATGTATTTATTCTTAAATGTATTTAACATTCTATTGATTTAACACTAATAAAATTCTATTTAATGTTTTTACATTATTTATTATATACTGTTCTAAGCCCTTTACAGATATTGACCCATTTAATTGTCCTAACATCCCTAGGAGGTGCATGTTCTTATCATCCCAGTTTCGTAGATGAGAAAACCAGGCTCAGAGAGGGAAACCACTGGGCTGAGGTCACCCAGCTAGGAAGTGGAGGTGCCAGGATTGGGCCTGATGTCTGTCTGAGGCCAGAGCCCGTGCTGACCCACCAGACGGGAAATCAGAGCCAGGGACTGGCTTCGGGGCCTGCTCAGGCGGGCAGTGGGCAGTGATGGGGTCTTGGGGTGAAAGCAGGGAGGAGGTGCCATGACAGGCTGGGGGTCCTGCTTGGGCCCAGCTGGGCTGGACCCCTTGGTGGTACCCAACCCACTGCTCCCTCCTCATTCATGTGGCAAGGTCCCCAGGGTGGCCAAGGCGCCAGGCTGGGCTGTGGATCTGACACCTCCCACTGTCGAGTTCTGATCAGAATCTGGCTCCAGGGCAGGGGGCGAAACTGAACCCACATGGGCCTCCTCTGGCTTGGATGGCCCTGCGCACACCCTGGCCCCGCTCCTTGGCACTGCCCAGGGCCCGCTCTCCCTGGCTTTCTTGCACGCCAGTGCCTACCCTGCAGTGTGGCCGGGCTGTGGCCTCAGCCCTGGGCGCTGAGCTCCGGGGTCCCCGGGGAGCCCGCGCCCAGCCTCCCCCCTCCCTGCCGGGCTCTCAGGTGAGCGGCGGGGATCAGGTTCCTGCGGTTTCATGTCCCGCATTGTTCTTGGCTGGGCCCGGCTTATGAAAGAGTAATGAGGGGCCCCTGCTCGCAGCCGGCCCCTCTAAGGTTTCTGCCGCCTCGGCCGCGGCCGCCACGGCCCAGAGTCGGGGCCTGGGAGGGCGGCAGCGTGGGGGCCTGAGCCGGAGCCCCCCGGGGACGAGGGTGCTGACAGCCGACAGCCGCCACCGCCAGAGCCCGCCGGCCAGGTAACCTGAGAGGAGGCGGGGTGCAGGGTGCCTCGGCCGCCGGCTCCCACCACCAGGGAGGGCCTGCCGCCCCGGCGAGGAGGGGAGGAATGGGGGGGCCTTCCCGGAGGTGAGTCGCCGCCGTTCCCCCTGGGTGAGCCCGGCTCCAGCCTTCGCAGGTGTGGCCTGGCCAAGCGGGCGGGGGAGAGAAGGCTGCCGGCTCAGGGCCCCACCCCCACCCCCACCCCGGCGCCTGGACCCTCCTGCCCCCAAGCCCCCTGCAACCCCCCTGCAGCAGGGCAGATCTCCCCTTGCTCCTTCCACCCAGGTCTCGCTTTTCGTCCCCTCAGACTTCCTCTTTCTCCCGCAGACCATTTGCTTCACTCTCCAGGTGGGCTTGGTCCCTCCTCCTCACCTTCCGCTCTCGACCTTGTTCTCCAGCTACAGATGACCCGTTTGGACCCTTTTGTTTCCTTCACAGCCTCCAGCACACACATGCACATGCGCCGACACACATGTAGAGCTAAACTCACGTGCACTGATGCAAACATATGCATTAGTGTCCCCCTCCCCGACGCGCCGGGGCACACTTGCACACACAGGCCTTTATACACACACATACCTGTACATACACGTGTGCTTGCACACACCCTGTACCTCCGCCAGCCCCCGGCTTGGGTCCCCAGAGACGCTGCCCGCCTGATGGACAGCTCTCCTTGAGAAGCCTGAGATCCCAGGAGGAGATGCCTGGACACTCAGCTACACTGCCTGGTGGGGGGAGGGGCTGCGCAGGGGGAGGGGAACCCCCACGTGGGCCAGGAGCTGCTTCCTCTTCCCAACTCTGCCCCAGGAGCTGGGGAGCCCTCCAAGTGCTGGGGTGCCTTACTGCGACCTGCCACGCCGCCCGCCTGCCTCTGAGGACCCTCCCCATTCCTCGGCCTCCGGCTGCCAGTCCGTGGTGGGCCCGGGCCTTGGGCCAGGGCCTGAGAGGTGGGTAGAGCCCCAGGGCTTGGGGAGGGGCTCCCTAGGGGAGGATGCCCTCACGCACCCCACCCTACACCCCTTCACGATGGCAGGATCTGTCTGTGCTGGCTGTGGGCATGGGTCACATGGGCAGGTCACACGGCCTGGGCATAGGCCAGCAGTGGGCATGTTCCTTGGGCCCTAGCTCAGTTTGCTCCGGGGTGAGGAGCAGCCATGCACCCACCCTGCAGGGGGCATGGCCCCCAGCCTGCTCACATTTCCTGGTTCCCTTGGCACAGCTTCAAAAGATTAAACAGGTGGGCACCTGTGACCACCCACCTACCTGACCCTGTGCTGCTCCAGGCTCTGGGATTCCCTCCACCCCCAGGCCTGAGCTGAACTGAAGTCCCTCTTTGAGGCCATGGTGCCTTGGGAGGGCATGGCCGAGGGCCCAGAAACCTGGGTTCCAGCCTCTGTTCCATCCCCGATGGGCTAAGGAAACAAGTCATTCCCTCCTTTATGCCTCAGTTTCCCTGTTTAAAAAATAAGAGGAATTGAATCAAATCAGCTTTGCTTTGGGAACATGTATGCCTCACAGGTAGGTAGTACTTAAAAAAACCAAAACCAGCCCTGCCGTCAAGTATGTTTCAGAAAGTCCAGAGTAAACAGATTTGAATATCTGTCTCGCGAGACTTGTCAGAAAATTCAGTTTGCTAGCAGGCCTTGTGCTTTTGGGTAGGGTGGTAGAAGTATGTGGTATGTCCCAAACTCATGTGACCACAGACCTTTTTCAGGGCCATCATCCCTTTCCATCTTGTAGGTCCATCTGTGGGTCACTCTTTGGGGACACTGCCATCTATAAGCCTACTTGGGCCTCTGGCCATCCGGACTGGCTTGTCTAAAGCAGGGCTTTCTCTGCTACTCCCGCCCTCGGCGTCCAGACTGGTGACCCTGTCACTGTCCCTGGAGCCCTGCTACCTCTTGAGGCCCCCCTTCAGCCCAGGACACACCTGTCATGTCAGTTTTACTGAGCTTGGGGGTCCCACTCCTGCTCTGGTGACAGGATTGGTGCTGGGGTCACAGGCATGGTTCACAATGCAGCTGTCCCCCTTCCTGGCTCTGTGACCTTCGCCAGTCCCTTGAGCTCTCTGAGCCTCAGTGTCTTCATCTGTAAAATGGGAATCGTGACACACATTTCAAAGGGAGACTGTTATAGCTGAATGAGGCAGTCCATGTGAAGAGCCCAGCACAGGGAGGCCTGGGTGTTCACTCCCTCCTTTGCTCTAGTGTGAGGTGTGTGTGTACCTGGGTGGGGTACTACTCCCTAGTTCCCATGACTTTTGGGGGAAGAAGTCAGAGGTCTGTTTCTTCTCCCAGGGGCCAGTCAGCAGGGTCCTCCGCAGAGGCCCCCGCAGGGGCCCCCACAGCTGCCCCTGGACACCGGAGCCAGGAGCCGGAGACAGTGCCCTATCTGGGGGGTCTGGCCTCCTCCCTGGGAGGCAGCTCCGACGAAGGCCCTGAGTCTGGCACCAACTCCAGCCCTGACTGCGACACCCCTGATGATCCCAGCGACTCGTCCTCCGTGGTGAGCTGGGGAGGGAAGGCCAGGGCAAGATCGCCCCTCTGTGCCAGCCCTGGGGTCCCCCCCCAAACCTCCAGACAAGGGTTGAGCCTCTTACACCAGGGAACTGGGCCAGGGCCCTCTGGAGACTTAGCCGGCACCTTGGGCCGCCCGGACCAACCGCCTGGGAGGGGCAGGTGTCTCTTCTGTGAAAAGACGGAAGGAGTTTCAATTGACAGGAAGTTCCAGGTGAATCACCAATGGGGTCAGGCTGCCAAATACTCAGGTCACAGAGGACCGGGATGCTGGGCATGCTCTCCGGAGCAAGGATGGCACTGGTTCTGGGCCCTGTCCTGGTCACACACCTCTGAGCTCCGTGACCAGCCCTGGCATAGATCTCTGAAGGACAGAGGAGAGGGAGCAGGCTGGGGAGCCCAGGCAAGGGCTGGGGGCCATTTGGCTGGGAGAAGAGAAGACGCGGGAACTTCCTGGGGTATTCACCCCTCAAAGGGCTGTCACAGGGCAGGAGAGGCAGGTTATCTGTGAGACCTCTGAGGGAAAGCGATGGGACGGCAGGTGTGGGCTCAAGAAGCCTCACCACCCCCTCTGAGGGAGAGACTTTTATGACCCCATTCTAGGGCAAGAAAACTGAGGCTCAGAGAAGGGAAACAACTTACTTGAGGCCATGTATCTGGGAAGTGGAGGGGCAAGGCTTTGAACCCACTTCTCTCTGGACCCTGGGGGTGTCTCTGGGGACTGGGGGCTGCCATGCCAGGGTCTTTCTGCCACAGGGAGTCCAAATGCCCTGGGTTCAAGTCCCCTCCCACCTAAACCATTTCCCAGCTGCGTGACTTAGGGCAAGTTTTTAGCTCTGACGTACATGCCTGCCTCAAGGGTTGGTTGAAGATTAGCTAAGTTAACGTCTGCAAAGGGCCCGGTGCAGTGCTGAGTATACAGTAGGTGATATTCAATGTCAGGGCCTTTCCCTTTGTCTACCTATCTCATGCTGGGAGCACAGGCCCTAGAGGCTCCATGCTTTCTCCTCCCTTCCCTGGCAGGACTGGGACACTGTTGAAAGGCCGGAGGAGGCCTCCAGTGGGGACGAGCTCACCGTGATGATCCCGAGGAAGCCCCAGGAAGGGCCAAGAGCTGACAGTGCCCGAAGGGCTCCATCTCTCCTCACCCGGTCCCCTGTGGGAGGGGATACTGCAGGCCAGAGAAAGGAAGGTGAGTCCTGCTAGGCCAGCTTGGTCGCTGTGACCACATGATGGCCCGGGGCCTGGCCAGATCTCACTAGCCATCTGGGTCCCCCAGCACATCTTACTTTGGTGGCCTGAGTAATAACTGTACAGTTCCCATATAATTATGGAGCGGCCATGGTGTGCCATGCGACCTACTTTAAATACATCATCTCACAGCTGGTTGGTTAGGATTAGGTTGCAATTGACAGAAACCGACCGAATGTAAATGAAATGACTCACATAAGTAAAAAGTTTAGCTGGCTGTGACTTCAGGTATGGCTGGATCCAGATGTTCAAATAGTATCAGAAATCTGGTTTCTACTGTGTTTTCTTCTGCACTGGCTTTGTTCTCAGCCAGACCGTCCCTCAGTCGTACCGTGATGAGCAGCAGCGGGCCCAGGCTCTATCACACCTGCATATCAGCTCCCAAGAAAGAGGGTACAATCTTGTCCATAGGGTTTTCCCTGGGACCCAACGTGGGTCACGTGCCCAACCTGGTGATCAGGGATGGGGTCAGGCGCCTGTGCACACCTCATGGCGTGAGAGTGGGGGAGGAGATTGCCCACAGGAAATCAGGGGCATTGTCTGCAGAGAAAGGGAAAAGGCCGCTGGGCAGGCCACGCCCCCAGATGCCCACGACCCTGGTTAGCACCTCACTGGCATGTGAGACGGGTATGCGTTGATGGGAGCATGGGGAGCACGGGAGTCGGGGGGAGAGAGGAGGCTGATGTAGGGGGCCACTCACACCCTGACCCTCCCTCCAAGCCTGTTTTTCCTGCAGTCTGTTCCATGTCACCACCATTCTGACGGCTCAGGCCCCCGATCTTGTGTTTCCCCGATTTCTCTGTTTCTTCACCTTTGTATTCAGTCAGCAGTTGTGGTTAGGGCCACCTGCAAAACACACCTCAAATCTGTCCCCTTCTTGCCATCTGTACAAGTACTCCCTGGCCAAACCACTGCTGCCCCCCGCTGGGATTGTCGCCAGAGTCCCCTTCAAGCCTCTGGATTCTGTCCGGCCCTCTCAGTCCGTTCCCCACAGCAGCTGGAGCCGCCTTTCAAAACACGAGGGGCACCTGGGTGGCTCAGTCGGTTATGCATTTGACTTTTGATTTCAGCGCAGGTCATGGTCTCAGGGTCGTGAGATCGAGCCCTCCATTGGGCTCCACGCTGAGCGTGGAGCCTGCTTGAGATTCTTTCTCTCCCTCTGCCCCTTCCCCTGCTCGCAGGCACATGTGCTCCCCCCCACCAAAAAATACAAACAAAAACATGAATCAGGTCTTATCACCGCCCCACCCCCACTGCCTTGCCCTCTCAGGCCCTGGGGAGAGGGTGCATGGGAACAAGTAGTATCACAGAAGACGCAGGGAGCCAAATGCCTCCCCGGAGTGAGAGTGGCCTAATAGGCAGGTGGGATTTTGTACTAAATACCTGCTTTCTTGCTTCTCACACAGGGCAGTGGAGTGGGGGAACCCTCACTCTGTGCCCTTCTTGATCGAAGGCAGTCACTACTGTCCACTTGGTGGCAGGCTCCCACACTGCAGACAGGGAGCCAAGGCCCCGGAGGAGTTAACCAACTCCAGGATGAGATGTTAGGAACCCCTTGACATCCCGCTCTGGGCACCTCCTAGTTTGCAAAGCACACTCCAAGGGGCAGGCTGCACAGAGTGCCGCCGGCCGAGGGACAGGACACGGGGCCCTAGGACATATGTAGGGCCTGCCCTGTGTGCGCGTTAGGGGGCTGTGGGAGAGAGGTCAGATCCTGGGGGGGCCAGGCCGAAAGGGATGCTCGAGGTGGGCAGGCAAGGAAGAAGCCTGGGCTGGGGGCACTGACCCCACCGTGAGGCACCGGGAGTGGTGGCGAACGCCATCTCAGCCAGCACCCATGCTCAAAGGGCGAGGCAGAGCTCAGAGCTGGAGGCAGGCAGCACAGTATGATTGAGCCCTTTCTGTGTGCTCAGCACTTTCCTCAGCCGGGGAGACACAGTGGAAAAGTAGAAGGTGGGGCCCCTTCCCAAATGGAGCAGGGAGTCTGGTGGGGGTGGCCAGAGCCTCGCCAGCCATGTGAAATCCCTGGATTTTCTTCCAAATGCAGTTGGGAGCCCCTGATGTTTTTGCCATCTTTTATTTTGAAATAATTTTAGATTTAGAGCAGAGTTGCAAGGAGTCCAGAGAGTTTCCATTACAACCCTTTGCCTGGTTCGCCTAATGTTGACATTTTACAAAACCAAAGTACGGCTATCAAAATTAAGAAATTAACATTGGTATAGCACCACTGTCTAAACTATAGACTTTATTTGGGTTCCTCCGTTTTCCCCACTAATGTCCCTCTGTGGTCCTGCGCTCCCATCCAGGACCCACACTGCATGGAGACACCATGTCTCCTAGTCTCCTCCAGTCTGATAGCTTTCTGGTCCCTCCTTGGAAGCAGGGGTGATCTAGCCAGGTTTGCTTTTGGAAAGGATCTCCCTGAATGGATGATGACCCGGGGCCCCCAGTGCAGATGCTGGGGGCTATTGCAACCATCCAGGCAAGGGATGTGGGTGGCTGAGGGGGAGGTGGGAGGAGGCGGATAAGAGAAGCCAGCCCATTTGGAATGCCATGGGGCGTCAGGCATTGGGCAACAACAATGAAAAATTAAGTGCTGCTATGTGCTTGGTTCTGGTCCCTTGCTAGGTGCTGGAAATTCAGACTTCGGGGCCAGCAGGTCAGAAAGTTTGGAGGAGACAGAGCTTTCCAAGCCCGAGGGGAGGGCATCTTAAGCATGGCCTTTATTTTCTTTTCTTTTATTTTTTAAGATTTTATTTATTTATTTGAGAGAGAGTGAGCATGCGAGAGAGCTAGCACAAGCTGGCGGGGTGGGGGGGGAGGTGGTAGAGGCAGACTCCCCACTGAGCAGGGAGCTGGATGTGGGGCTCGATCCCAAGACCCTGAGATCATGACCTGAGCCAAAGGCAGACGCTTAACTGACTGAGCCACCCAGGAGCCCCTTAAGCATGGCCTTTAATGAAAGCAGTGGTGGCTCGTTCCAGAAGCCACCATACCCTTTATTCCTCTCCTGAAGCTCCGGCCCAGGGACACACACACAGCTGGGGGCCACCACATGCTGGGTGACCAAGGGCTGAGGGGGCTGGAGGGTGACACTGAGGTCATGGTGGTCCCTCCCTGGGAATGGGAGTTGTGAAGCGGTCCCTGTTTAGGGCAGTTACATTAATCTCTCGGACCAGGGCTGCTTAGACTGTAATGTGCATGCAAATCACCTGGGAATCTTATTAAAATGTAGATTCCTCGCAGTGCGCCCAGGGCGGGGGGGCCCTGAGAGTCTGCATTTCTAGCAAACTCCCAGCTGAGGCCCATGCTGCAGGTTCACAAAAGTCCATGCTAGGCTCAGGGCAGCCCTGAGAGCATCCGGGGCAGGAGCCTCTCTGGGTATAAGGAATGGGAGCTTTCTAGAGCTATCACACCTGAAAGAGCCTCCTTAGAAGAGATGGGGGGAGTTCTCAGAACTCACTCGCAGGAGGTAGAACAGGGAAAGGGAAGTTGCTAGGTAGCTGCCCCCAGACCCACCTCTCCCTCTCTTGGGTCCCATGGGCTATTGTCAAAAGAGCTCTCTACAAATTTGTGCAGGGATCCCCAGTTGACATGTCCTTTCAGCTCTGGAGCCTACCTCCCAGTGACTGAGTCAGCTGGGGTTTCAATGTCAAGTTCCCAGCCTCAGCTTGAGAGAGACCTTTAAGCCTCGTCTGATCTAACTCGCTCCGAGGGGTGGACTCACTTGGTCTGGACAGTGGGTCCTCTAAGAAGGGGCTGTGGGCTCTGCCTTAATCATCTGTCCCAGGGGACAAAGAGAGGTTGTGTGTGAGACTCCTCCCCTTATCTTGAACCTGCCTCTCCTCTCTCCAGACACCTGCAGTGGGAGCCGAAGTGCTGGACAGCACTGGGCGAAGCTCCGGGGAGAGAGTGGGTACTTCTTGGAGCGGCACCGGTCGGCACTAACCCCGGCTTCCTGTGAGACACCGCAGGGCGGACCTTGCAGCGCCACCCCCCAGGCTTCCTCTCTTCATCGTTCTGCCCAGAGGGATGTTGCCCAGACTGCTTCCACACAGTTCGATACCCCCCAAGCCTCCTCTCCCACACAAATTGCCCAGCGGGACAAACCCAGAACCTCATCCACCCAACAGGACATCCCCAGGACCTCTCTCACACAGCACAACACCCCCAGAGCATCCTCTCCCTCAAGAATCGCGCAACGGGATAACCCCAGAACCTCCTTTGTCCAACGAAACAGTCCTCGAGTTTCCTCTCCCACCAGAGCCACCCAACAAGACAACTCTAGAACCTCTTCTATTCAACAGGACAACCCTCAGACTTCTTTTCCCACATGTATTCCCCAGAGGGACAACCCCAGAGCCTCCTCTCCCAATAGAACCATCCAACGGAGCAACCCTAGAACATCCTGTGCCCAACTGGACGATCCCAGAGCCCTCTCTCCCAACAGAACCACCCAACGGGACAACTCCAGAACATCCTGTGCCCAACGGGACAATCCCAGAGCCCCCTCTCCCAACAGAACCACCCAGCGGGACAGCTCCAGAACATCCTGTGCCCAACGGGACAATCCCAGAGCCCCCTCTCCCAACAGAACCATCCAACGGGACAACTCCAGAACATCCTGTGCCCAACGGGACAATCCCAGAGCCTCCTCTCCCAACAGAACCACCCAGCGGGACAACTCCAGAACATCCTGTGCCCAACGGGACAATCCCAGAGCCCCCTCTCCCAACAGAACCATCCAACGGGACAACTCCAGAACATCCTGTGCCCAACGGGACAATCCCAGAGCCCCCTCTCCCAACAGAACCACCCAGCGGGACAACCCCAGAGCTTCTTGTATTCAACAGAACATCCCCAGAACCTCTTCTACCCAACGGGACAACCCTAAAACCTCTTATACGCAATGGAATAACCTTAGAACCTCTTATACTCAACGAGACAATCCACAGTCTTCCTCTCGGCGGGACAACCCTAGAACTTCCTCCCCTCGATGCTGCACACAACGGGACCATCCCAGGAATTCTTCTCCCCATCGTACTAACAAAGATATTCCCTGGGCCTCCTTTCCTCTCCGCCCGACCCAGACTGAAGGCCCCCGAACCTCTTCCCCATCTCGCTCCAAGCAAAGTGAGGTTCCCTGGGCCTCCATTGCCCTTCGGCCAACCCAAGGGGACAGGCCTCCTCAGACCTCATCTCCTACTAGGCCAACTCAGCGCGACCCACCTCTCTCCTCCTCCGGATCTACTCGACACAACTCACCATCTCCAGCCGCTTCCTCCTCCCGTAACCCGGGCCCCCACAGTGCCTCTCGGACTTCTTCACCTCTGTACCCTGCTACCCGCGGGGCACCCCAGACCTCTTCTGAGCCCTCCCAGCCTCCATGTTCTGTGTGTATTGGGCATCGGGATGCCCCTCGAGCTTCTTCACCTCCTCGCTATTTGCAACATGACCCCTTCCCCTTCTTCCCAGACCCCCATGCACCTGAGAGTGAATCGCCCCACCACAATCCCCCCTATATACCTCCACCCGTGTGCATTGGACACCGGGATGCCCCCCGGGCTTCTTCACCCCCCCGCCACACCCAGTTTGACCCCTTCCCCTTCCTCCCGGACACATCAGATGCTGAGACTCAGTCCCCCCAGCATTACCTTCCTCAGTTCCCCCCACCTGTGTGTATTGGGTACCGTGATGCACCCAGGGCCTCCTCCCCGCCACGCCAGCCCCCAGAGCCCTCCCTGTGTTTCCAGGATCTTCCCAGGGCCAGCACTGAGAGCCTTGGCCCCTCCACAGACTCTCTGCACGAGCAGCCCCACATGCCCACCCCCGTGTGTATTGGGCACCGGGATGCACCCTCCTTCTCGTCCCCACCACGCCAGGCCCCTGAGCCCTCCCTCTTCTTTCAGGATCCCCCAGGGACTAGTATGGAGAGCCTGGCCCCCTCCACTGACTCTCGGCATGGCTCCCCAGTGCTGCCCCCCCAAGTGTGCATTGGGCACCGGGATGCACCTAGAGCCTCCTCCCCACCCCGCCACCCCCCCAGTGACCTAGCGCTCCTGGAACCCTCACCTCCGCCAGGCAGCTCGGGGGGCTCCCGGGGCTCAGCAGCCCCTGGGGAGACCAGGCACAACTTGGAGAGGGAAGAGTACACCGTGCTGGCTGACCTGCCCCCACCCAGGAGGCTGGCGCAGAGGGAGCCAGGGCCCCAGTGCAGCAACGGGGGCCGCACCCGCAGCCCTGGCCGAGCAGAGGTGGAGCGCCTCTTCGGGCAAGAGCGCAGGTGAGCTCAGGGCGGGGCCAGCTAGGTGGGCTGGGGAGGAGTCTCGGCGGCAGGGCAGGTGGAAGGTTCACAGGCTTAGGCTGGCAGATGGAAAGGGTTCAGACCCCCATCCTGCCACTGACTGGCTGTGTGACCTTGGGCGAGTCACTTCATCTCTGTTTCCACATTTTAGGAGGTTTTTTTGGAAACCAAGTGATACTGTGTGTAGCCTAGTGGTTAAGAGCAAAGACCAGGGTCAGGCGGGCTGGGTTCAAATCCCGGGTCAAACCCACTCCCCAGACTATGTGACCTGGTAAAGTGATTTAACCTACCTGAGCCTCAGTTTCCTCATCTGTAAAATGGGGAGAATGTTAGTACCTTAAATAAGGTTAAACTCACAAACCCTTTCTTTGATCCAGAATCACAGGTTTCTTTATTTATTTTTTCCTTCCTACGTGAGGGAAAAGAAAGTACCTACGATTCTTTTCTGCTTTTTAAAAAAATTTTTAAATTCTTTTCTTTCTTTTTTTTTTTTTCTCTTCTACTTTAACCAAGAAAACTCATGGGTCCCCTTCAATTTCAGAAAACAGAGATGTCAGTTTATTTTTTTTTTTGAAGATTTTATTTCTTTATTTGAGAGAATGAGAGAGAGAGCACATGAGAGGGGGGAGGGTCAGAGGGAGAAGCAGACTCCCAGCTGAGCAGGGAGCCAGATGCAGGACTTGATCCTGGAACTCCAGGATCATGACCTGAGCCGAAGGCAGTCGCTTAACCAACTGAGCCACCCAGGCGCCCCGAGCTGTCAGTTTAAAATGAATGGCCAAAGCCACATATTTTATTTTATTTTATTTTTTAAGAATTTATTTATTTGACACAGTGAGAGAGAGGAACACAAGCAGGGGGAGTGGGAGAGGGAGAAGCAGGCTTCCTGCAGAGCGGGGAGCCCGATGCGGGGCTCGATCCCAGGACCCTGGGACCATGACCTGAGCCGAAGGCAGGCGCTTAACTACTGAGCCACCCAGGCGTCCCAAAAGTCACATATTTTAAATAAGAGAACTCATAGAATTACAAATTTTGTAGAAGTTAAATGTCACTTTCCTGGCACATGGCGACAATGCCAGAAGTCCAGTCCAAGTATCCCGCAAGTCTCTTTGGTCAGCAGGGCCGCACAGGTGGTTTATGACCCAGAGCGTCTGCTTTGGCACAGCTCGGGGAGGGAAAACATTTCCTCCCGATCTGGCTGAGATTTCCTTCTCCCGCAGTTCCAGCCCCAGAGTTTTCAAGGACCGGGGCTGGAATACCATTAGTTAAGGTTAAAAGAACCCAAAAAAGTAGGTCTGGAAGTCTCAAAACTTACAGTGTATAATTCAGTACATTACAGTGTATTTACTGAGATAGAGTTGTATAGCCACCCACAACCTAATTTGAGAAACTTTCCATCACCCCAGGAGCGGGTAGTATTTTGCATTCCAGAATTCTTCTTTGTTTTCCTTGGGGCAGTATTTTCTCTTAGGTTTGAATCTACTTGAGAAACCTTATCTCTTACTCTTCAGATTTCCTTCTCCGGTAAGTTTTATCCATTTACTACCCAGGTGACAACCTCTGGGGTCTCCATCATTATTGTAATTCTATCTTTGGTCTTTAAACAAACAAAAAACACACATTTTAAATTTTCTAGGGCAGTTTTAGGTTCATAGCAAAATTGAACGGGAAGTACAGAGATTTCCCATTCAGCCGCCCTACACACACAGTCTCCCCCCACTACAACAGCCTTCACCAGAGTGGAGCATTTGTTACAAACCGTGAACCTACATTGACATGGCATTATTACCCACCATCCATAGTTTACAATAGGACTCCCTTCTGATGGTGTACGTTCTGTGGGTTTGGACAAACATATAATGGCACGTATCCACCATTATGCTATCACGCAGAGTATTTAACTGCCCTAAAAAACCCCTTGTCTTTGGCCTTTTTTATGATTACTATTTTTGGTCCAGTATCAATTTGCATACTTTTGATTTTATCTGATAATTCAGCAGGGACACTAAAGGTCTTTATACCAGAGTTATATTTTCTTCTTTTTCTTTTTTTCCTTATGGCAATAACTTTGAGAGAGAGAAAAGGTTTATAATAGAAGTCAGGAATATGTTTATACTCTTGTTAACCGTTTAATTATTTTTCCATAGATACTTCTATTCATTTTATTTTACTCTCTGAAGTTGTTTACCTTTTAAAAGCTTTATTGCAGTAAAATTGATAGACAAAAAATTGTATATATTTAATGTCTACATTTTGAAGTAGACTATTGACTATTAATCAAGATTTTATAACTCTACTGAGTACGTAAGTTATTTTCTCTTGTATGGCACTTTTTCCAAATAGAAAAACATTTGTCGTCTGAAGATGGAATTTTAAAACCTATTTAAATATCTGTAAGGGACAGACTGAAAGTTATGAGTGGGTGGCTAGAGAGCCATGCTTTTATTTTCTTCCATATATTCATTCAACATGTATTTATTGAGCATCTACTCTGTCCAAGCATTGTCTAACTGAGCCTGGAAAATTTCTTTTAAAGGGCTATCCCATTAAAGCATTAGATGTTTTGGCTTGATAGCTTCATTCTTCCCCCTCTAGATGCCTTTGGAATCCCTTATCTTAGCATCATATAAACATTTTGGAATCTCTTGAATGTAAAACAGAGCCTTCATGGAATTTGCTAGACTTGATGGCTTTTGTCCTTTAATACCTTCTGGAAGTAGAGTAGAGCCCATCCAAGCTTCCAAAGGAAACATGCTTCGTCTCCCTCATTGCAGCCACACCAACACTGAGGAACAGGCAGCCCGAGGGGACTGGGTTCTCCGTTGGCTTCTCAGAATCTTCTTGAGTCCTTTCTTCCTACCTCTCGATTCCACATGGGGGAAACTTCTCAGAAGGGATGATCGTTGGGCAAGCTGGAGTTTATACAGAAAGTGCATCCACTCGAGGGGTACCCATTCTCCTGTACACCCTGCACCGAGTAGTTTTCTCTGTTATCCTCCCCAACCTAGTCATTTGGAGCTTACGCTATGTGGAGCCCCCAACACCTGGTTCAGGGGAAAACTCCCTCTGAGGTCTCAGATCTAACAGAGCAAGGAACCCTCCTTGTCTCAGATAGATTAAAAATAGAAGCTGATCAAGCAGCACTTAAACTGAGAAACACTAACTCCGGGGTAGAGAACTTTGGCTTCCTGTGAGTCTACAAAAACTTGACTTACTTTATGGGTCTGGTTTTTTTTTTTTTTTAAGATTTTATTTATTTATTTATTTGAGATAGAGAGCGAGCATAAGCAGGGGGAGAGGCAGACGGAGAGGGAGAAGCAGACTCCCCACTGTACGCAGAGCCTGATGCGGGGCTTGATTCCTGGACCCCAAGATCATGACCTGAGCCGAAGTCAGATGCTTAACCAACTGAGCCACCCAGGCACCTTATGGGTCTTATTCTAATGACATTGGCAAAAGCCATAGACAACAGCAACAAAGCCCAAACTCATAATTCTTTTACTCTCCAAAGCCTCTGTGGAGTTTCAGTGTAGTTCCCAAGGGAGAGACAGGCTGAAGGCAGAGCACAGGTCTGGTGAGCAGAGATCCCTCTTCCTTCCCTTTTGGCTGGCTCAGTTGGGGCTCAGCACCAGGTCGTCTCTTTCAGGCTTCCCTCAGGTCAGTCCAGCCATTAGAGACCCAGCTCCCTTTGTCCATTTAGATGAAGTCAGACTTGTTGAAATAAACATCCAGGGGGCCTGGGTGGCTCAGTCAGTTAAGCGACTGCCTTCGGCTCAGGTCATGATCCCGGAGTCCCGGGATCGAGTCCCACATCGGGCTCCCTGCTCGGCAGGGAGTCTGCTTCTCCCTCTGACCCTCTTCCCTCTCGTGCTCTCTATCTCTCATTCTCTCAAATAAATAAATAAAATCTTAAAAAAAAAAAAAAAGAAATAAACATCCAGTGGAGCTGTTGAGTCTTGGGTTTTGATGCCCTTACATACGGGACGGGAGAGGTGTGCCCAGATTCTGTCTGGTTGCTACGTTTCAACAGAGATGTCATGTTAAATATTAACAACCACAGCTACTCATTGTTAAGCAAGACAATGAACTGGAACTAGGGACTTTTTACAGCTTAGAGGTTATCTCTGTTGGATGTGGCAACAATGCCTGGAGTCCAGGTGTCTTAGAAGTGACATTTGTGTGAACAGTTTACGTTGGCCTTTCTGGAAATGTAGAGGATGTTTCTTCTGATCTTGCTCAGAGCTCTTTTACTGACAGCTAGGATGGCCTGGAGTGTTCAAGGCTAAGTGCTGGAACCCTCTTAGTTACTGAGGGGGAGGAAAGACGGGCCTGGGAAATCCCAAACTCACCATGTGGACAGGAAAAGGGCAGAAAGAATGGGATATGGGGGTACATAACTCTCTGCATCTCCCCTCCGCACCTCATGGGGTACGTGAGAGAAAGTGGGACGGTCAAGTGCTTGGCACCTGGAACATAGGAAGTGCTCAATGTGTGCTGTTATGATCATGTGTGCCCAGTGCCTGGTACACAGTAGGTGCTCAATAAATCTTAATTCCCACAAGGTCCAGTCTAACCTTTGTGTAGGGGTGAGTGGTGGGCTGCTCGTGGGGTGGTGGTCAGAAACAGGAAGTACTGAGTGAGACAGGAGGCAGTCAAGGCCAAGGCTAAGCCCCCCATCCTGTGCTTACCCTTTTTCCCACTTTATTGCCCCCTGAGGTAGACAGATTAGAGTGGTCGACCATCCTCATTTTTCAGAAGGGGAAACTGAGAACCTGAGAGGATCATCCCTTACTTAGAGCCCTTCAACAAGCTCATGGCGGGCCCCCCAGTCTCCCACATCTCCTCCGACTGGGGGCGGGAGTAGAGGAACCGGGAGGCTGGCAGTGGCATAGCTCCAAGGGCCCTCAGAGGGGCGGCTGCATTTGCTCATAGGAAGTCCGAGGCACCGGGGGCTTTCCAGGCCCAGGACGAGGGGCGGTCGCC